CAGTCGGTGGAAGATAGGCTTTTCCCTAATATTTATAATGACAAAGGAACAATTAGAGAGAGGGTCAAGAGCAGGAGGGCAGTCAATCGTGTAGCAGAGGTTTTGCAGGGATTTGTGCTCTCCTTGTAGATATCAGACAGCCCATCTCTGGGATATAGCATGGAGAGAGCTGTGGACCTTTTATGAGAACAACTTTAACAATTATACTCACTTCCTAATGAGCTTTCAGACTGAGACAGGCAGTTCTCAAAGAACTGGCCAGGGAAAACCTTATGAATAGCTGTGAAACACTGTCTGATGTATTACTGGACAACTTTATGAATAGCCCTGACACATTGTCTGATACAGTGCCAGAAGTTGAGCCCCTGAGGTCAGAAGGCACTTAATACCACTGGGAGAGAGCTGCTTCATCAGAGTAGAACCGACCTTAATGATATGGATAAAGTAGAGCTTTGGGGACCTCCATTCGCTGATGTGGCATGACTCAAAATGAGAAGAAACCGTTTCAAACATCCATTAATAATTGGAACATGGACTGTATGAAGTATGAAGTATGAGTATAGGAAAACTGGAAGTTGTCAAAAATGAAATGGAATGCATAAAGATTGATATCCTAGGTATTAGTGAGCTGAAATGGACTAGTTTGGGCCATTTTGAATCAGACCACCATATGATCTACTATGCTGGGAATCACAAGTTGAAGAGGAATGGCGTGGCACTCACCTCGTCAAGAACATCTCAAGATCTATCCTGAAGTAAAATGCTATCAGTGATAGGATAATATTCATATGCTTACAAGGAAGGCCAGTTAATACTAGTATTATTCAAATTTACACAACCACTAAAGCCAAAGATGAAGAAATGGAAGATTTTTACCAACTTCTGCAGTCTGAAATTGACCAAACATGCGATCAAGATGTGTTGATTATCACTGATGACTGGAATGCAAAAGTTGGAAACAAAGAAGAATCACCAGTAGTTGGAAAATTTGGCCTTGATGATAGAAATAACCCTAGAGATGGCATGATAGAATTTTGCAAGACCAATGACTTATTCATTGCAAATACGTTTTTTTCAACAACACAAATGATGGCTATACACGTAGACTTCGCCAGATGGAGTACACAGGAATCAGATTGACTACATCTGTGGCAAGAGGCAATAGAAAAGCTCAATATCTTCAGCCAAAACAAAGACAGGAGCTGATTGTGGAACAGATCATCAACTGCTCACATGCAAGTTCAAGTTGAAGCTAAGACAATTAAAACAAGTCCACGAGCACCAAAATATGACCTTGAATATATCCCTCCTGGATTTAGAGACCATCTAAAGAATAAATTTGATTAATTCAATGCCAGTGACAGAGGAATTGTGGGATGGCATCAAGAACATCATCCATGAAGATAGCAAAGGGTCATTAAAAGGACAGGAAGGGAAGAAAATACCAAAATGGATGTCAGAAGACACTCTGAAACTCATCCTTGAATGGAGAGTAGCTAAAGAAAATGAGAAAAATGACAAGATAAAAGAGCTAAACAGAAGATTTCAAAGAGCAGCTGGAGAAGACAAAGTCAATTATTTTCATGAAATGTGCAAAGACCTAGAGTTAGAAAAACAAAAGGGAAGAAAACACTCAGCATTTCTCAAGCTGGAAGAACTGAAGACAACATTTAAGCCTCGAGTTGCAGTAATGAGAGATTCTATGGGCAAAATATTGAATGATGCAGGAAACATCAAGAGAAGATGGCAGGAATACACAGAGTCACTGTACCAAAAAGAACTGGTCAATGTTCATCCATTTCAGGAGGTGGCATATGATCAAGAACCAATGATATTGAAGGAAGAAGTCAAAGCTGCCCTGAGGGAAGTAGCAAAAAACAAGGCTCCAGGAATTGACAGAATACCCATTGAGATGTTTCAACAAATGGATGCCCCACTGGAGGCACTCACTCAGCTATGCCAAGAGATTTGAAATTCAGCTACCTGGCTAAGTGACTGGAAGAGACCTGTATTTGTACCCATTCCAAGGGAAGGTGACTCAACAGAATGTGGAAATTATCGAACAATATCATTGATATCTGCAAAAACGACAAGGAGGCCACATGTTCTGACCTCCTCTAATCCCACAAGAGGAAGACAGGGTTACCAGCAGTAACCCAAGGCCTATTACTGCAAGGCCAGACATGCTGCCTCCTTCCAGCCCTTTCTCCAACCGTTCCTCCCAGAGCACCCACCACCTCTCTCCTGGGTTCGATAATTCGCTGCAGTGGCCACACAGAACTCACAGATTATGAGGTTTATTCGGGAAGCACCAAGCTACAATTTGAGTTCAGGAAAAATGCTCAGTCTCTCTCTCCAGCCCACCGTCCCTCAGCCAACAGTCTCTCACAGTCTCTTTCCCAGCAGTGCTGGTCCCTGGGTGTCTCACTCAGCGATGCGTGTCTCTTGCATCTCTTTCCCAGCAGCACGTGTCTCGTTCAGGAACGTGTGTCTCTTTTTGGCAGCACGTCTTCCTCCACCAGCAGTCAGAGAGAGAGTTCTGCCTCTAGGAGACCTCCTTTTGAGCCCGGCAGAGTGGCCAAACTAGCCGATCATAGCATCAGAACTCTAAGCACCTGAGAGAGAGAGTGGGCACCTCCCAGAACATTGTTTTGTGCCACGCCCAACAGAAATACTCCAGGTGGACAACTTCAGCAATCAGGAGCTCCTCAGTTGCTCATAGACAATCCCACCTTGGAGTTTACAAAGACTTATGGGTAGAAAAGCCACACTAAGTAATTTACTACACCGCAATATCACATACAAGTAAAATCTTACTGAAGATAATTCAAAACTGGTTGTAGCAGTATACTGACAGAGAACTTCCAGAAGTGCAAGCTGGATTCAGAAGAGGACGTGGAATGAGGGATACCATTGCTGTTTTCAGATGGATCTTGGCTCAAAGCAAAGAATACCAGAAAGACGTTTACTTGTGTTTTATTGACTATGCAAAGGCATTTGATTGTGTGGATCATAACGAATTATGGATAACATTGAGAAGAACGGGAATTTCCAAACACTTGATTGTGCTCATGAGGAACCTGTACATAGATCAGGAGGCTGTTGTTCGAACAGAACAAGGGGCTACTACATGGCTTAAAATCATGAAGGGAATGTGTCAGGGCTGTATTCTTTCACTATACTCATTCAATCTGTATGCTGAGCAAATAATCCAAGAAGCTAGACTATATGAAGAAGAACGTGGCATCAGGATTGGAGGAAGAATCATTAACAATCTGAGATACGCTGACGACACAACTTTACTTGCTGAAAGTGAGGATGACTTGAGGCACTTACTGATGAAGATTGAAGAATACAGTCTGCAATATGGATTACATCTCAATATAAAGAAAACAAAAATCCTCACAACTGGACCAGTAAATAGCATCACAATAAATGGAGAAGAGACTGAAATTGTCAAAGACTTCATATTACTTAATTCTATAATCAACATCAATAGAAGCAACAGTCAAGAAAGATATCAGACCACAGTGAATTTACTCTGTAAATCTTCACCCAAATCCTAATAATAAAAAAAAAAAGATATCAGACCACATACAGCACTGGGCAAATCGGCTGCAAAGGATCTCTTGCAAGTGCTGAACTCCTTAAAGACTAAGGTGCACCTAATCCAAGCCATGGTATTTTCAATTGCCTCATATGCGTGTGAGAACTGGACATCGAATAAGGAAGACCAAAGAAGAGTTGATGCTTTTGAGCTGTGGTGTTGGAGGAGAATACTGAAAGTACCACGGACTGCTAAAAGAACTAACAAATCTGTCCTGGAAGAAGTCCAGCCGGAATGCTCCTTGGAAGCGAGAATGGCCAGACTTTGTCTCACCTACTTTGGTCATGTTGTCATAAGGGACCATTCCCTGGAGAAGGATATCATGCCTGGTAAAGTGGAGGGTCAACTAAAAAGGGGAAGGCCCTCAAGCAGATGCACGGACACAGTGGCTGCAATGATGGGCTCAGGTATAGCAGGGATCATGAGGCTGGCGCAGGGCCAGACCGTGTTTCACTCTCTTGTACATAGGGTCGCTATGAGTTGGAGAGAACTTGACTGGCACCTAACAACAACAACCTAATGGGGAAAAAAAATCCTCTGGCAATATCAGAAAGTTTCAGATCTTCTATAAAGGATTTCAAGCCCTGGTGGTGGCGCAGTGATTAAGTGCTCCGCTGCTAACCTAAAGGTAGGCAGTTCTAACTCCGCAGCTGCTCAGTGGGAAGAAGATGTGGCTGACTGGTAAAGATTACAGACTTGGAAACTCTATGGGCCAATCTGCTCTGCTCGGTAGGGTCGCTGTGAGTCGGAATCATCTGGAGGGCAATGGGTTTGGTTTCTATAGAGGATTTCATTCTCCCGGAATCTCCTGGAACATCGCTTCAAGATTTGCTGTCAGTCCTTGGGCCACAGACTCCATAGAGAAGCATTCCCTTTTTACATTCACGCTGTTAAATACTGAACTAACAGCATGACTCATCGTGGCATTGATAAGACGCGGCCCTTCTCGTCAAGGAGCTCTGTCCAGGAAGGTCCACATCTCACAAGGTTGGGTGGGATGTGACCAAAGAGCGGCGCACCCTCCTTGTCACCCACGCCCCGGCCGCCCGCTCGGAGGGTGGGCGCGCGGTTGTGATTAGGCGGCAGAAACCCGGAGCCTGCCGGAAAGCGGAAGGGACAGGCCCGCCCAGGAGAGCTGGGCCGCAACCAGCGACAGCACTTGGCACGGATGACTCACCCACCCGGGCTTTGGCAGCCCACGCCTAGAGTCCGCTCCCAGTTCTTAGCAACGCTCTCCATGGCAACCAGGGCTTGGCAATGACACCGCCCTGCTCCTCTGGGGCGAGTCAGGGTTTGCGTCACCGCGGCGCGCCGGAAGTTGTCGTCTCTGTCTGCAGCGACCCGGAAATACTGGCTGCCGGAGGATTGTGGCTGCTCTAAATCCCAGCTTGCCATGGGTTGCGACGGAGGAACTATCCCCAAGAGGCACGAACTGGTGAAGGGACCCAAAAAGGTTGAGAAGGTCAGCGACGTGGGCCCTATAGGGCAAGGGGATTGGTGGGAATGCGGACGCTTCCAGGGCGCGACTGGAGGCAAGAAGAGGTAGCCAGCGGGATTCCATTGGCAGCTGCGCTAGTGCCGTTTGGAGACTTTGAATTGAACAGCAGTCATAATAATTTAGGTTTTTCGATTGCTTACGTTGCAATGCACCGCGCAAGACGCTTAACATGGGGCATCTCATTTAATCCTCACAACAGCTCCGTAGCGTAGGTACTGTCATAAATCCTATTGTTTAGACATGGACTCAGAAACCAGGAGGGCGAACGTTGCAAGGTAGTAAGTGGCAGAGCCAGGATTAGAACCCGGTCTGCAGTTAGGCACCGTGATTTAAAAAAAAAACCTACTGTCTGTTGAGCTTTTCCTAGACTAACTTCGTTTCCTCAGAACATAGGCACTATCCCTAAGTGCCAGGTCCTGTATCAGGCACTTTACGAACTTTCTATTATTAAAACATGAAACGTTTTCCCAAACCCATGAGATTCGAGTTTTCTCTTATAAAGTTTGTTAACGCTGTGTACACTGCGTTCATGGCTGATTAACGTCTGGCTCCCTTACTAGCTGGTAAGCTGTTCATGGCGGAAGCTGCCCTTTTTATCTTCCACAGCTACCGTGGTTTTAGACCCAGTAAATATATTGAACAATAAATGCCTGATTAATCCCTTATCCTTACAAGAAGTCAGGCAAATCATGTATAGTCATTTCCATGATACCACCCAGAAATGGAGTCCAAACCAAACCCACTGCTGCCCAGTTGATTCCAACACACAGCGACCCTGTAAGAAGAGTCCAACTGCCCCGTAAGGTTTTCAAGGCCATAAATCTTTATGGAAGCAGACTGCAGCATCTTTCTCCTGCTTCGCAGCTGGTGGGTTCAAACCCCTGACCTTTCAGTTAGCACCCATGTGCTTAACCACTCCGCTAACCGGGCTCCCCAAATTCAGTTCAGGGAAGTTAATTAACGTGAGCACAACTCACTGGCACAACTTTCAGGTGGTGGAGTCAGGATTCCCACCCAGCTCTTTGGGATCTCAAAGTTAGCACCATGGTCACTTTTTAATAGAGTTTATAAAGTATCTTATACAATGCCTGACACGTGGGGATGGTCCGTATCGTCTGCATGAAGCAGCCAGAGAGAGCTTTCTTTTCTTCTCCAGGTAAATCACATACATCACTACCTATTCAGAGCATGCGTGCCTTCTCATCATATTCAGAGTAAAATTCCACAAGGCCCTGTGTGATCAAACCCCTCCTCTCTCCAACCTCATCTGCCCTCTCTAGCTCTTTGATTAGGTTTCAGCCATACAGGCCTTTTTTAGTTCCTCAACCTGAAATGTTTCCTTTCTTCATTCAGTTTCTTACTCAGATGTCATCTCAGTCCACCGTAGCTGAAATACTTCTCATTGTATCCTTTTCATGTTTCTTCATAATGTTTACCATGATAGTGTTACCTGTGTAACCCGTACCTTGTGTCTGGCATACAGTTGCTGTTCGGTGCGGTTGAGTCGATCCCCACTCCTTGTAGCCCTGTGTGACAGAGTACGACTGTCCCCACAGTGTTTTCTACCCTGTGATGATTTCCAGGTTTTTCTCCTCCCTAGCAGAGCTGCTGGGTGGGTTCAAACCACCAGCCTTTCCATTTGCAGCCACGTGTTTAACTGTTGCACCACCAGGACTCCTTAGTAGACACCCACTACATTTGTGTTGATGTAAGAATGCATGACAACCCCAAAGAACGACGTGTGCCCTGTAATTGCACCTACACCCGCTAATCTGCCCCACGTATGCCTCGGCTAGTTCTGGGGCGTCGGCACTGATGGCAGCTTTTACCGGAAGGGTATTCAGCTCAGTTTACCTTGTGCCCAGGGCAGGAGAGTAGTAGCTGAGCAGAAGGCTTGACAAGGGGTAGGTGTCGTAAGTCAGTACAGAGGAAGGAAAGGTGATCGGAAGTGACTGGAAATACTCAGGATGGATCATCACCATTCATTCAACACGTGCTTAGTGAGTGCTTACCACATGCACTGTTCTGGGACACAGTGGTGGGCAGAGACAGAAGCCTGCCCTTATAGAGCTCACATTTCCAGTAATGACATAAAGAACACTGGAAGGGTGTGCTGGACCTGACCCAAAACATTGCTCTAATTTAAGACCTTGCCCTAAAAAGAGGAGAGACCCTAGGAAAAAATGTTTTTTGGGGGAATCAGTTTTTAAATCCTTGGCTAAGGCTACTGTATCGCCTCTCTCCACATCTCCAGCCCTCCGAGCTGATCTGAATCAGTAAAGAACTGTGCCTGCAGCAGGGGGCACCCCAGAAAGTGGACCCTCGACTTGCAGAACATGGCTTTTTGAACCTGCAGAAAACAGAGCCGATCTCCCTAGCTCATTGCTGGCCTCTCTCTAGGTTCTCCTGTGTCTCTCTTTTTTAGTTTGATTTTTTTTAAAAAAGCCATTTAAATCGCCAAACTGGGGAATGAATAGACATACCAGTTGCAGTAGTGTTTCTGACACGGCAGTCTGTTCCGTACAGATTGACTTCAGAAACCCGAGCGGGTAAGTCCACTCTCTGATAGGGTCGCTCGATGGCAGTGGACGTCCTAGAGAGGGGTCATTAAAGCACACTGTAGACCAGCTTGCCTCCGTGCTCATCCAGCTCCTTTACTTACTTTATTTAGGAGTGGAAGAGAGCAGGACACGGAATGTCAGATAGGTGAAAATGCCATTTGAGGGCTGTGGAAGGTCTCAAGTCTGAGTTTTCATAGTGTGGATAAATGTTTGATATGCCCTCTAGCGAACAGTTTGCAAAAGAACACTTATTTTCATTAAATTGATGATTTTAGAAAGAATTTTATAGTCTGGGAGCTCTGGTGGCCTAGTACCTAAGGCATTTGACTGCTAACCAGAAGGCTGGCGGTTCAAACCCCCAGCCACTCCTCAGAAGAAAGATTGGGCAATCTACTTTCACGGAGATATCACCTTGGAAACCCAAGGAGGGACAGCTATTACTCAGAATCCACTTGATGGCAGTGAGTTTAGTTTTTTGTTTTCTTTGGCAAACTATTAAAAAAAAATGTTTATTCTCAATTTTTTGTCTTTAAATTCAGGTACAGCATTGGAGGCTTCCTCATTGTTAGAATTTCACCTGTACTTTCTCCCTGTGTGGCCTCTGCATTTCCTGTTAAGATGCAGATGCGTGAATACTTAGAGTCTGCAAACAAGTTATGATTTGATGTCAACTGCTTCTTTGTACTTGTCACACTTTAACCAAAACCAAAAACCAAACTCACTGCCGTGGAGTTGGATCCAACTCATAGCAACCCCTCCTTGCGTTTCCAAGGCAGTATCACTACGGAAGTAGGTTGCCCCATCTTCCTTCCGAGGAATGGCTGGTGGGTTTGAACCACCAGCCTTCCAGTTAGCGGTCAAGTGCCTTAGGCACGACACCACCAAAGCTCCTTGTCATGCTTTAAACAGGCCTTTATTTGACATAATATCAGGTTTTTTTTAGGACTTTTGAAATTCCAGATTCACGTATCCCTATCACAATGTAGTATCACTGAATAAATGTTTATATGTGGACTGTCAGCCATGTGCTTTTCAGAGGCGGAAGTTGATTGAAAGGAATTTTCATTTCTTTTCTTAGGTTGACAAAGATGCAGAACTCGTGGCCCAGTGGAACTACTGTACTCTAAGTCAAGAAATATTAAGGCGACCGATAGTTGCCTGTGAACTTGGCAGGTATGGTCCCTTTCATCAGTCAGAAAGCATTTATTACATGATTTTGAAGATGTGTGTATGCAGTTTTTGATTCATCAAGTGTGAGTTAGCTAGAGCAGATTTGTGAAGGCGGGGTTCACATTCCCTGTCTTTCTCCTAATTGGTTGGCTTAATCCAAGGGTTGAAAACCCAGGAGCTGGTAGGACACAAGCAGATAGGCGGAAGCCCTGGGAGGTGTGGCCAAGAATAGGGGAGAGCACCTGTCTGCCCCTGGGGGAGCAGCTGCTGCCTTCCAGACAGCTCTTGGGGTTCAAGAACGTGTGGCGCCAGGTCTTCTGGTTCAGTTTGGTTTATTTAATTCTTTTAAGAGAGGTTGAAAGTCTGCACCTTTACGTTAAATCTTCCAACATTTAGACCCTTTGTCCCAGCTGTCCCTCAGACTGCTGGTTTGCAGCTTCTTTCTCCATATGCTCTGGACGGAGTTGAGACAGTGCGAGATTAGCTGTATTTATACAGTGGAAGCCATCTGCCGGTACAGTTCCTACATTTGCAGTGCATCAGCATTGATGACGTTGGTCACGTTGTGCAGCTGTCATCCCTGTCCTGTTCCAAATCATTGGCATGAAGTCAGTGCCTACGGAGCAACACCTCCCCCCACCCAGTAACCATTAAAGAGCTTTGATTTCTATGTATTTTCTTACTTTGTCTAAGTGAGGTCATGCAGTTTTTGTCCTGTGACGGGCTGATTGTGCTCAGCGCAGTGTCTTCGTGCTTTAGCCGTGCCGCGGTCACGTCGGGGCTGATGCTCTGTTGTGTATAGGCCACCTTGTGTGTATCCGTTCATCTGTTGGCAGGCATTTCGGTTGTTTCCAGCTTTTACCTGTTGTGAAGAGGGCTGCAGGAACACTCGTCTGCGGTTTCCATTTGCGCTCCTGCCTTCCCTGCTGGGTCTGCGCAGGAGAGGGCTCCTGGGTCACGTGGTTTTCTGTGTTCCACATTCTGAGGAACTGTTTTCCACGGTGGCTGCACCACGTCCATTCGCACCAGCAGTGCAGGAGAAACACATGGACTTTGCTGGAACGCAGGCCTTTTCTGTTACCAGATACAAGTAGCTCCGGGTTGGGCCCCATCACATCAGTCAGGGTTTTCTTCCCCTTTGGCTTGGTTACTTGAAAGCTGACTGTTGCTGTGGTGTTTGACTAGTCTTTATTGTTGCAGGCTTTATAACAAAGATGCCGTCATTGAGTTTCTGTTGGACAAGTCATCTGAAAAGGCTCTTGGGAAGGCAGCATCTCACATTAAAAGCATGAAGGTAAGACCGGTGATTCCGAAGTGCTGGTGGCAGGTTCTTTTATAGGATTCCTCTCCGTAAAGACGGGCCAGGACCCTGGGATTGCAGCCCTGCTCAGCCACCTCACAAGGGGGTGACCTTCTTCAGGTCACTTCAGTCTCGAGCCAGAGGTTTCCCCGCCCGTAGCTGCTGCATCATAAGCCTCCCGTGATTCGGTAGCCGTGAAACTGCTCCGACATCCCCTAATGTGCCATATGGAAGTGCTGGGAGGCATTCTTTCTCTGCTTAAGAGTTAACTGCTAGGATTTTTGATCTGTAAGACACTTTTGTAGAATTAGAGAATTTTACGTTTGTTGTTCCGTGCCATCAGGTCAATTCTGACTCTTACCGAGCCCGTGGGACACGTAGAGCTGCCCCGTGGGGTTTCCTAGGCTATGAGCCTTCCCGGAGCAGATCTGCAGGTCTTTCTCCCGTGGAGTGGCTGGTGGGTTCGAACTGCTGACCTTTCGCTTAGCAGCAGGGCGCTTAGCCACTGTGCCACCAGGGTCTGTGAGAGGTCAATCACTGTTAAATCAGTGGTTGCCTCCTGCAGATTAAATGTTCTGACTGGTAGTTAAAGCTCTTTCTTAGAAGTGTGGAGACAGTTTCAGTAAGTGAAGTTTGCTAAGAGGACAAAATCTTTGAAATCTGGTCATGGGAAAATGCTTAGAAGTGTATTGGGAAGGATTTGAGACCATCGTGCTAGTTAAGGCCTTTGTTTCCCAGGGAGCACGCTGGCTGTGCGTGACTCCAGGAGGCCACAGGGCTGGTCAGAGAAGGCCTGACCCAGAACCCAAGCCCCCTGACTGGTCTGAGAGTGGGGGTTGGTGCTTCCTTTTTTTTAAAAAAAAAAAAAAAAAAGCAGCATCAGGCACTCTGCTTGAATTCTTGGGCTGATTACAGGTTACAAAAGGTGGTCATTTTGGGCAAATTAATAATCCTTAAGCGTAGCTACGGGTCATCCTATGAAATAATCATGCTGGTTTTAGTCACCATTTACCTTGGACAGGGAGTTAGTTCCTGAAACCCCACAGGGCATAGGTTATCTTACCTCCAAAATGTTAATCATGGCTGAAATTAGTTCATACAGTTCTCTTCTTAACAACACACACACACAAACACACACACACACACACGGCTCACACACAAGACTCCAAGCAGCTGGGACACTAAAAACAGAAGGACCCAGATGAGACTATGCAGACACTAGATTATTGTTAAGAAGCCACAGGTGCTCGCAGCAGAGACCATGTGGAGACAGACATCGACTTGTCAGCCAAGAAGGAGACAAGGTGGCCATGGGCCTGGTGGCTCACCTGTGGGGCACTCAGCTGCTCTTCAGAGCATTACAGTAAAAATGTGTAAGTGGGAAGAAGGAGCCCTGCTGGTGCAGTGGTTAAGTACATGTTTCATTTGCTCTGAGAGGTTGGCAGTTCAAATCCAGCAGCCCCACAGGAGAATGACCTGCAGATCTGCTGCTATAAAGACCATAGCCCAGGAAACCCAGTGGGGCAGCTCTACTCTGTCACGCGGGGCCGCTGTGAGTCGGAATCCATTTGAAAGTGCCAACAGTTAGAAAGAAGTAGCTCAAATGCTGAAGTAGGGCTGTTAGTCAAACTCCTCATAAGGGTGGATTTGTGGAGGCCGGAGTGGATGTACTGGAGTCTGGTAGTGTTTTCTGGCTGATACTCTGCCTTGGCCCCCCAGCTGGTACTGTCGATTCAGCTGTCCTGTCTTGTAACTGGTCCCTTGTCAGGATCCTCCTCAGTGAGGGTGTCGGCAGGAAAGGAACGCAGGCCATTATGGGTGGAGCTAACGCAGAGCTGTTTCTTAGTGGGGTAACTTTTGATATCAGAAATTGCTTCTTCTAAAATAACAAAACATTGGTAAAATAGAAATGACCTAATTGCTTCTGTTGATGAATTAAAAACACCTTGGTTTCTATCAGAATTTATAGTTTAATTTTATATTTACATCAGTTGGTGACAAAAGTGGCTATGAATGAGAGACTTACATGGAGAGGGACTAGGACAACGATTTCTCTGTTGACAAAGTGACTATTAAGGCAAAAGGTGATCCATTTGTCACACTGCTTCTTTTCCACAGAATGTGACAGAGCTGAAGCTTTCTGATAATCCCGCCTGGGAAGGGGACAAAGGCAACACCAAAGGTGACAGGCACGATGACCTCCAGCGGGCGCGCTTCATCTGCCCCGTCGTGGGCTTGGAGATGAATGGCCGGCACAGGTGAGCAGCGGGCAGGGACAAACGACGTGGGAGTCTGGTGAAATCGTGGCATTGGGGTCATTAGGATTTGGGAAGTGGCTTAGCAGTCACCTGAGTTCTTCACGGGGTGCCTTAGTTTGGATGGTGCCATGGAGGACATAGCGCAAGGTCCAGGAGCTCCTTCATTCCCCATCAGCCATTGGTAATGGGACTCTGAGCCCACTCAGCTCTATTTTCTGAGCCCTTCTGTTCTTGAGGACAGGAGAACCCAAAGTAAAGAGGTTTTTATAAAAAAAAAAGCATCTCAGGTAGGTGAAGATTTTTGCCAGCTATAAGTGACTACATGTAATCTTGACTATTCTGGCTCATTTGTATGTGCTGACCCATTGCAGTCAAGTTGATTCTGACTCATGATGACTCTGTAGGACAGTGTAGAACTACCCCATAGGGTATCCAAGGCTATGATCGTTATAGAAATAGACTGCCACACTTTTCTCCCACAGAATGGCTGGTGGATTGAACCACCAGCCTCCCAGTTAGCAGCCACACGGTTAACCTCTGCACCACCAGGACCCCCTCTGCATTGATTTAGCAGGTGTATATGGGCATCTTCTCACATGCCAGGCACTGTGGCCAGTGACGCCGGAGAGCCTGACCACTGGCTCTGAGTGGAATGACCCGATAACACGGTGACTTCCGGATTTGGAGAAAAGGGAACTCTGAGTGGAATGACCTGATAACAGAATGACTTCCGGATTTGGAGAGAAGGGAACTCTGAGTGGAATGACCCGATAACGCGGTGACTTCTGGATTTGGAGAGAAGGGAACCCTGAGTGGAATGACCCGATAACGGAATGACTTCCGCATTTGGAGAGAAGGGAACTCTGAGTGGAATGACCCGATAACGCAGTGACTTCCGGATTTGGAGAGAAGGGAACTCTGGAATGACCCGATAACGGAATGACTTCCGGGTTTGGAGAGAAGGGAACTCTGAGTGGAATGACCTGATAACGTGATGACTTCCGGATTTGGAGAGAAGGGAACTCTGAGTGGAATGACCCGATAACGGAATGACTTCCGGGTTTGGAGAGAAGGGAACTCTTGAGTGGAATGACCCGATAACGTGATGACTTCCGGATTTGGAGAGAAGGGAGCTCTGAGTGGAATGACCCGATAACGGAATGACTTCCAGGTTTGGAGAGAAGGGAACTCTGAGTGGAATGACCCGATAACACGGTGACTTCCGGACTTGGAGAGAAGGGAGCTCTGAGTGGAATGACCCGATAACAGAATGACTTCCAGATTTGGAGAGGAGGGAACTCTGAATGGAATGACCCGATAACTGAATGACTTCCGGATTTGGAGAGAAGGGAGCTCTGAGTGGAATGACCCGATAATGTGATGACTTCCGGATTTGCAGAGAAGGGAAGAGGCAGGGGACCTTTTGCTGTTACCATTGTTTCTGAATTTCAATCATTTCTTCCCCCCACCCTCTTACACCCCAGCACTTGGATCAAGCAGTAAATATTCTGGGGAACTAGACTCATGCTACTTGACCTTGTCCCACTTCTTTTTTTAAAAAAAAAAACGATGGTTCGCACCAGAAGAGGAACTTAGCAGAAACAGACTCAACTCTGGGTCTGGAATAGGGGTGACCCGTAGCTGCTCGTGCCGACTGCTGCTTCCGTAATTCTTTCTTGTTTAGTGGTTAGTCTCTTCCCCTGGCCTCACCTGAGTTAATTGAGCTTTACCTATTTTGGCTTTGTCCTCTTGTTATGAGTAGAGCTTTGGCACTAGCAAATTGAGTTTTCAATTAGTTTATTAGTAAAGGCCATAGGATAAAAACCAGAAAAACCAAACTCACTGCTGTCAATTCGGATCCAACTCATAGCGACCCCTCCTTGGGTTTCTGAGGCAGTATCACTATGGAAGTAGAGTGCCCAACCTTCCTTCCAAGGAGTGGCTGGTGGGTTTGAACCACCAGCCTCTGGTTAGCAGTCAGATGCCTTAGGTACTACACCCCCAGAGCTCCTAGAAAAATAGAACAAAATTGCTAATGTAGTAAATACCTTGGGCCTTTGTTGTTGTGGTTGTTAGGTACCATTGAGTCACTTGTGACTCACAGCAACTCTGTACAACAGGATGGACACTGCCCAGTTCTGGGCCCTCCTCACAGTCCTTCCTGTGTCTGAACCCGTTGTTGCAGCCACTCTGTCCACCCATCTCATTGAGGGCCTTCCTCTTTTTTGCTGGCCCTCTGCTTTACCAAGCATCATGTCTTTCCTCTTGATAAAGTGTCCAGAGTAACTGAGATGAAGTCTCGCCATCCTGTGTCTGAGGGGTGTCCTGCTGCGTTTCCTTACTCGTTCTTCAGACATCATAGCATATTCAGTACTCTGCACCAGCACCGTAATTCAGAGGCATCAGTTCTTCTGTCTTCCGTACTGTCCAGATTTTGTGTGCATCTCAGGCTATTGAAAATACCATGGCTTGGGTCACATGCACCTTAGTCCTCAAAGTGACCTTTGTTTAAAAAAACCATAATTTACTGGTAATCAGTAAGCATCCATAAAATAGGATTTGTTTTGATAGTAAGGAACAATTAATGGATTTGGTACAGTGTTCTTAATTGGGGTTTTTGGTTAGGCCTTTCTGCATCCACTATTTAAAAAAAAAAAAAAAAAAATCCTAACTGTTCTGGTTACCTGGTGCCACTCTGACGAGAAAATATACCACAAATGGGATGGCCTTATCAAACAGGAGTTTATTCTTACAATTTGGAAGCTTTAAGTCCAAGTTCAAAGTGCCAGGCTTTAGGGGCTGAGTGAAAGCCCCTCAACTTTGGGGTCCAGTTCTGCCTCCTGCTCCCGGCCCCCTGGAGCTAGAGGCATTTCTTCACTCAGACAGCTGTTGGCTGTTGAGGCTGAGAAGCCCTGAGGTTGACAAGTAAAATGGCACAGTCCCAATGTTACCAGACCACATGGCAGGCCATTAGCTTAAGTCCACTGTAAGTCCCCAAATCAGCAGAGCATGGCAGGCTGCTGAGCAATGACACAGCTACATGCAGGGTTGAAGCGTGCCAAAGGCTGGAGACCATTCTCAAAGTGTCTCCTTATATACAGGAAACAGACCACATTCCCTAAGGCAGCTACTCAGCTGCTCCCAGTAGATTCCACCATGGAGTTGATTACCAGTCTCATCATGGGGAATACTGCATCCAGCTACCCAGCCACTCAACCAGGCCTAGCCAAGGTGACACACAAACATAACCACCACACTAACCCGTTGCTGTCAAGTTAAATCTGACTCATAACAACCCTCTGGTACAGAGCAGAACTGCCCCATAGGGTTTGCAAGTCTATAATCTTTACAAAAGCGGACTGCCACATCTTTTTCCCACAGAGCCACTGGTAAGTTCGAACTGCCAACCTTTCTGTTACCAACTGACTGCTAACCAAGTCTCCTGGATCCACTTAATCCCTGGGAAATTAGATTTTTTATCTTTTGATATACTTTTTTTTTTCTTTAATGGAAACAAATGTAATGATTATTAACTTTGTGGTTCTTGGCCTGTGTGTAAACTGAACAAATGTTAATTGATGATGTGGGGACTGTTTGTAAATTATTTCTAATTTGTTCATGGAGTTGTTCTCCATATTCTGTATCTCTCTAGGTTTTGCTTCTTGCGGTGCTGTGGCTGCGTCTTCTCTGAACGTGCCCTGAAAGAGATAAAAGCAGAAGTCTGCCACACAGTGAGTTCCTGACGTGTTGTTGTGCCTCTCAGGGGCTGAGGGCTCAAGCGGTTTCCCTCTCTCGGTGGTCATTCCAGTGACCTCCACAGCTTTTAGAAACACGCATCTGCTGCGTTCTCTGTGTCAGTCCCATCTGTGGCTCCTCGTTACAGAGAATGCAGACTCAGCCTGGCTCTGTGATGTGACCCCTGCCTGCCTGTCCAGGTCTCCTGGTGCCTCTGTGCCTCTGCCCTGACCTGCGGCCTGGAGGATTACTGCTTCCCCTGTGAGACTTAGTCCCCAAGTTAGGCCTTTCCTCCTGAATCCTGCCCTGATCCCTGGAGGCCTTGTTATCTCACTGATCTCTTCATGACGGTACTGTGTCTTTATGTGTCTCTTTCCCCACTGGACTGAGTTGAGGGCAGGGAGCCAGGCTTTATCCTTTCTCTCCAGGGTGGTTAGTGTTCCTTCAGGAAGTGTTCACGTGCAGCAACAGGTAACTCGATGGAGCAGAGAACCTGCTCCACAAAGTCACAGGGAGTTCTGATGACTTCGCTTGAGGTTTTTGCTGCAGCTCAGACATTTGTGTGTCTGCTGCCCTGCTGGCCCTTGGACACCTGGCGTGTAGCGTGATGCTCAGTGCAAAGCAGCTCTGCCGGTTTTCACCTGTAGAACTCTGCGTGCATTTCATCACACCTTGTAACGTTTCTCCCTGGGGGGCATCTCTTCTTTCATTTGGCAGTTTCCACTGAGCAGCTGTGATGGTGGGTTATCATGGTGGGTAAAATGAGGAGGGCTCTGTCTCTGGCTGAGGGGTCAGATACTCACATATTGAGCAAGGCTGCCCAGTGGTGCTGACAGAGGCCTCTGAGTCAGTGTGTGCGCTGAGACCTGGCGGGTGTGCGGGAGCCAGCCGCCAGAGCTCGGGTAGCAGGAGCAGCACTTGCACAAGCTCAGAGGTGACAGAGGACTTTGCTAGTTCAAAAAAAAAAAAAACAAAAAACCAAACTCACTGTTGTCAAGTTGGATCCAACTCCTAGCGACCCTCCTTGGGTTTCCAAGGTGGTATCGCTACGGAAGTAGATTGCCCAACTTTCTTTTCGAGGAGTGGCTGGTGGGTTTGAACCTCCAGCCTTCTGGTTAGCAGTCACATGCCTTAGGCACTACACCACCAGCGCTCCTTACTAGTCCAAGGAGCAGAATGTGTGGTCCTGGGGCAGGAGGTTGAAGAGTCAGACAGGTTCCCATCATGCAGGCCCAGTGACCACACTGAGGTTTGTTCTGACTGACCCCTCTGTAAACGGAGCCAGGCGGGAAGGGGACACACTGGGCGATTCCACTCACAAGGATTCAGAGACAGGCAGGCCAGATGCACTTTGTTTGAATGATCCCTGTAAATGCAGTGAGACTGGGAGGGAGCACATTGGGCAAGCCCGCTCATACAGAGAGAGAGAGAAGCTCACCAGCGGTGCAGGGGTCAGAGGTCACCCTGGGGGGGGGGACATCACCAGCGGTGGAGGGGTCAGAGGTCACCCTGGGGTGGGTGGACAACGGTCTGTAGTCTTTTGAGTCTGGCGTCCTTCCCTTGGCCCAGTACAGATGAGATTCCTCTGGGCTGTGTATACCAGCAGTCTGCCCCTCTCTGCCGGGCAGTGATTCACTGTGGGAGGTATCACATTGGTTTATTCATTCCCCAGCTGAAGGGCATTTAGATTATTTCTCAGTTGGGGGAGTTATGAATAAAACCATTATAGGATTTGGAATCCGTGCTACTACGCTTTTAAAAAAGAAAAATTCATGGAAAAATATGCGTGGGATTCAGTGTGTATTATTTATTCAGTAGTATTTAGTGTGTGTCCTGTACGAGAGACCACATTGTAGGTGTTCCAAGGGGAAATGAGGCGTGTGCAACACGTTCCTTGCCCTCAAGACAATGGCAGGAATCGTACAAGAAATTCTGTTCCGTATTCTTTCTCAAAGCCAGCTCCCACGTGGGAGGGGAGACGGTACTGGAGTCAGGGGCTTTCTTTGCTCTGTGCTGGTGAGAAACAGCTGGTGAAAGAGGAGGCGCCTGTCTGGGTCTTGAGGGAAGAGTGTGATGCTCAGTGGCCACACATCCTGAGATTGGAACTTGACTGTTGGTGCTGCTTTGGGCCGGTCCTCACGTAGGACGGTAAGTCTCCACAGGACACCAGTGAGCAAGAGAGCGACCCCATCTCGCTCCTTCAGACTGCCTTGCTTCCGGGACAGAGTCTCACTTGGCCCCTAGTCTGGCTTAACACCTCTCTGTTGGAGGTGGTGATGTGTTGAGTGGATCCCAAGTCACAGTGACCCATGTGACAGGTAGACTGCCCCAGAGGGTGTTCCCAGCTGTATCTCTAGGAAGGCAGAGTGTCAGGTTTTTTTCCTGAGGAGTTGCTGGGTAGGTTTGAACCACTGACCTTTCAGTTAGCAGCCAAGCACCGCCAGGACTCCTGACATCTCCCTAACACTAACCCCTCGAGTCAGAGTAGACCTGAAGCTCAGAGCTTTGGCAGGCAGGACCTAGCGAGACTGGGTTTTGTGTCCTATTTTTATGGTCACTTTGTATTTATGCGAAGAGGTACTGTTTTTATATTTATGGTAGAAATATAAACTTAACTTTAAAACAAATTGAAGTAGAAACAGCGGGTAGATCTGAAGAAGAATATTCCAATAATGACAGGCCGTCGCAGGGGGTGCCTGACGTCTGTGGATCGCTGTCATGAGTCGTGGTGTGTGCGTAGCTGGTAAAGCAGACAGGTGGAAGAGGTGGAGGACTGAGAAGAGGAGGAGGAGGAGGAGAGATGTAGGGCAGGGAAGGGGCCTGGCAGCCTTTGGAGACGGAGGGTCAAGGTGTAGTTAAGGCACCAGCTTGTCAGGACTCGGGGTGGAGGTAAAGGAGCAGGGGAGAGGCCCTGAACACCAGGCAGACTCAGAGGTGGTTGCAGGCCAGCTTGGACAGCCATGGATGACCCTCGGCAGGAAGATGCTTTGGGAGCACCAGTGCGTAGGCTGCAAGGGTCGGGCAGAGAGAGGAAGGACTGGGCACAGGCCAGGGTGGCAACAGCGGCCAGAGAAAGGCGCCCACGTGAGAGGCATCAGGAGGGTTCGGGGCGGTGGCTGGGGCGCCCACGGCATGGGAAGCCCACTGCGGGTGCTCTGTGTTTGAGTGTGCGTATGTTTAGCAGTGTGAAGGATGCTGGTTAGGTATTAAACAGTCTGTTTAGAGGAGTGTAACTACAGTCATACCCTGCTTTTCGGACACCACTTCACTTTTATAGAAGGCCTACGTTAGTGCCTGTTTCTGCTAACCCTGAGAAACCCAAAGAGAGTTTTTGCTTTTACCAAAAAAAAAAAAAAAACCGCAAAAAGTGAGAGTAGCGTTCACCTTGGTTTTGCAGCCAGCAGGTGAAGCGACAGGGCACCCGGAGCAGTGAGAGTGGCGTCACCAGGCTCCTCCCCGGGACCTACCTGTGTCCGCATTGTTTCTACTTCCTGTAGGCTGTGTGTGTATCCCGTCATTCCTGCTTTTACCCCGTGTTAGTGTTAGTCTAGATTTTACGTGTTATTTGATGTGATTCGGTAGGTTATTTTTCGGTCTGGGAATGTTTGAAAATTGTTCTGGTATCAGTTGATGGGAATTGTGTCTTCACTTTATGCTGTTTGGGCTTGAAAAGGTTTCATGGGAACGCACTGCTTTCAGGTAGTGGGGCGAACCTGTCCATGAAGGTGGGAAACGAAGCTGATGTTTCCTTCACGGGCCAGATGACTTACGTCAACGGCTCCCAAGCTAGGCTGTGCCTAGACTTACCCCTTACTTCTGTCTCCACCTCACCACAGAGTCCGAGCCTGCGGGATTGGAGAGACGTGTGTGGGTTTCTAATGAGCAGCTCCCAGAGGATGCTGACAAGCAGCTAGGCTGGGCAGGCTCGCCGACTGAAGTCCAGCTCTTGTTTGCTTCCGACCTTGATGGAAACGTCTCTTACGCTGGCATGCAGTGTCCTCTGTGTTGGCTGCCCTACAATGTCCGCATTAGTAACATGCAGCAGACTAGACCGTCTGCCCAGAGTTCAACACAGAGTTGACTTTATTTCATGGAAATAAAGTCCTTTCTTGGTGTGTGGGAAAGTGTAGTAAAACCGAGGAAGGTTTTGAAATTCTGTGCCTTGTGCACTTCCAGGGAAGGGAAGGAGGCGGACCAAAGGGGAACTAGCTGCAGTTAGGGTTGCACAAGGGGAAGCAGGGAGCAGGTGATGCTCAGAAAGCGGGGCTTCCCCCACCTTCGGTGGAGCCGTGCGCGTGTCAGGAGCTCCTGCAGTTCAGACGGGGTGATGTTGTTAAGTGCTGTCAAGTTGCTTCAAGCTCAGTGACCCTACGTACAACAGAACAGAACACTGCCCAGTCTTGCACCTTCCTTGCAATACCAGGGATGTCTGAGCCTATTGTTGTAGCTGCTGTGTCGGCCCATCTTGTCAAGCGTCTTCCTCTCTTCTGCCGACCCTCCACTCACCAAGCGTGATGTCCTTCAGGGACTGGACCCTCTTGACAACATATCCAAAGTATGTGAGACAGTTTCGCCACCCTCGCTTCTGAGGAGCATTCTGGCTGTACTTCCAAGACTGGTTTGTTTCATCTTTGGCAGTCCATGGTATATACTGAATGTTTCACCAGCACCATTCAAATGCATCAATTCTCCTGTCTTCCCTACTCATTGTCTGTCTTTCATATGCATATGAGGCAGTTGGAGAGACCAAGGCTTGGGTCTGTGCACCTTAGTCCTCAGAGTGACATCTCTGCTTTTTCATACAGGATGTTGCTTGTTAGGTGCCGTCATGGGTGCCGCCCAACAGAATGAACTGTGAGTGTTTTGAGTGCCTTCCAGCCCAGGGGCTCATCTGTGGGCACCATGTCAGACAGGGTTTCGCTCCTACTCATGGGGTTTTCAGTGGCCAGTTTTTCCAGACGTGAATGGCTTCATCCTTCTTCCCAGTCTGTGTTAGTCTGGAAGCTCCCTTGAAACCTGTCCGCCGTGGGTCCCCATGCTGGTATTCAAAATCCTGGTGGCATAGCCTCGAGCCTCACAGCAACACGGAAGCCACCACAGTACAAGCTGACAGACAAGGGATGGTGAACCCAGGATAGTCAGTGTAATTCAGCAACACCTCATCTTAAAATTGTCCTTCAGAGTTTTTGAAAAGTGCTGCCAGAACAATACAGTCTGCCTAAACATGGCGTTTGCGTATTTGGATTCTACACCGTGGAGCACCGTGGAGTGCGGTACAGCCTCTGCAGACGAGAGTGGGCTCCCTCAGTCCTTCCCACGGCCGGTATCGAGAGCCTGATGAGGGCAGTCTTGCTCGCACCCCAGATCTGGCCGTGGGACTATGACATCACCTCTTTGGGCTTCAGATTCTAGTGTGCAAAAATAAGTCAGAGGGAACTGTAGTAAATTTTCTGACAGCTCTCCTTGTCGATCCAAAATGCTTGGCAACAGTATTTTAAAATGAGAAATAAATGATAAATTTATGTCCTGTTACCAGGATTTAAACTCCTGTTTCTAACGTGAAGTTGGAAGGTTTAGTAATCCTCAGTACAGCTGTCCCAACTTCCCTAGTCCTGACGTAGTCAAGTTCCAATGAACCACTCTTTTTTTAAAAACAAACAAAAGAAATTATTGTGATGTGGGTGCAGATTTATGAAGCAGATTCCTTTGCCTCCTGACACTTCCTGCACGTTGGGTGCCACGGCCTGTCCATCCCTCCCCTCTGCTTCCTGTGGCTGTCCCTCCCTGTGTCGTCCTTACCTGCGCACCTGCCTGTCCAGGTCTCCCTCTTTGCACAGGGTGCCTTTCAGGTGTCTCATGTTGACTGATCAGGGGGTACATCTCCCTGGGGTAGGTGCGCTGCTTGTAGGTCTTTCTGCTGTTGGGCTGAGAGCCAATCCACAGAAATGAGTCCAGGTCCAGGCCCAAAGGATGACCCGGGGCCGCAGTCTCGGTGGTCCAACAGACCACTCTTAGACCATCTGTGTGGGGGTTTTTGTATATCTTACTGTTAGTATTATGTACTGCATATATTTGTAACATTATATGTAATGTTTCCAATCCTCAAAGATAAGTAAAGCTCGGATTTGTACAGATACTGATAGTAAAAGGCAATATAATGAAAACTAACAAAAAGGGAGCTCTTGGACCTAACATCAGACTGGACTTCAAACAAGAGTCGTCGGAATGGAATGCCGTCGTTAAGCTGGGACTGTCTGTGTGTAGGTCGGTTACCTGACCGCTGTAACAAACCCCCAGCGTTTCAGTGGCTAACGCAGTGGAAGGCCCTGTCCGGGCAGCTTTCTTCCAAGGGTAGCTTGGGCCATTTTGAAGCTCTGACCGCCTCTAAGTTACTGGAGCCAGCTCCATTTGGGTGATGCGAACAGTTCACATGCTTGGCTGCTAACCAGAAGGTTGGGGGTTCAAGTCCACCCTGAGGTGCCTTGGAAGAAGGACCAGAAACACTGCTTCCATAACGTCAGCCCCTGAAAATGCTCAGAACACAGCGACGCTGACACACGTGGCTCACTAGGAGTCAGAATCGATTTAGTGGAAACTAGTTTTAGTTTTTCTTCCATTCATTTGGCTGATGGGAAAAGAGAAGAGAGGATCTGCCTTGGGGGATTATTATGGGCCAGGCCTGAAGTGGCACTCACCACTTCTCATAGCCTTCTGACCAGAACTCCGTCATGTGGCCATGCCTAACTGCAAGGGAACCTGGGAAACGTAGTCCAGCAGGGTGCCAAGGAACAAGAGGTGAACACTAGCCAACAAGAAGAGTGATGGTTCCGTTTGAGGAAGTGCAGTGTGTCGCAGTTGTGGGTTTCATCATGGAAATGTGGATGAAAGTGAGGTAGAGTCGTGTGTCAAGTTAAAGTCTAAAGCAAATGTTTACATTTTTTAGGGATTGGAACTTCAGATGTTGGGGAGCTCAGTGGCACTGGGGATGTGCGTGGTCTCTGCTTCTCAGTGTGTAGGTGCCCCACATTTGGTTTCCCGTTCACAAGAACAGGCTAGACAGTTGGAGGCCGCTCTGCTCTGTGTCTAACCCACGGTGGGCAGACTCGGCTTTAGTAAACAGGATCCAAAGAGATGTGGTTGCTAGGCTTTTTTGTTTTCAGTATAAACGAATCAGTAGCCAAAAACATTCGTTGTATTCCCCATGGTATTCTTTGCTTCTTGTAACGAGAAGAAACCCATTGGAGTAATTACCGGCTGGAAGTAGAGGGTGTTGTGCCCTCTCCTCCAAGGATGAACCCAGACCTGCAGTGTGGGCATCACCTGGGAGGGCTGGGCTTTGGTTTGTTTTGTTAAAGAGATGCAGAATCTCAGGCCCCAGCCCAGACCCCCTGAGTCAGAATCCCCATTCCTGTGAGAGCCCCTGGCGACCTGAGCGTATGGGAGTTCAGGAGCTGGTAGTTGATACCAGAGTTCCGGCAGCATTTAGCTCACTGGTGTCTAGCTCCATTCCTTGGGGTGGGGGACCTCACGGGAGGGGCCGTCTCTGCACGTAGTCAGGTCAGCGGCTGCCTGTGATTCCCAGCTCTGCCTCCTTCAGGGCCTTTTTTATTTTTTTTCCTCGTTTTCTACCGTCTCTGTGGTCTGTGAATGCACAGCCTCAGGGAGTCTCAGAACATACGGTGCAGGCAGCCTTCAGCGTCCCGTGTGAGGGAGAGCTAAGAGACGAGACAGACCACGGACTCCACAGTGGCAGGCAGCGTCTGTCCTCACATCTCAAGCTGTCCATCACCACAAGACGAAAGAGACAGTGCTCACACGTGATTTCATTTTGTTCTTTGCCTATACGATTGGACTGACTCGGCATGCAGAGCACCAGGTCCAGGTCGATTGAATGGATGCGGCCCTCCCCGTTGACGGGCTGATACTAACACAGGATGCTGCTCTGTCTCGGCCGACGGGCCTGGCACATGGCAGCTGCCTGCCTGTCAGCCTCCCTTCCTGGCTCCGCCCCCACATTCCACTGACAGCCAGCTCGTCCTTCTTCCCTAGTCTCCCGTGGCTGCAGTCTCCCAAGCCTTTAAGTCACTTCAATTATTCTTCTGCATCGCCCTGGCGCTGGAATCATTGTTACTGTTGTAATTCTTGTTGAGCCCTTGGGCCGGGTAAGCGTTTGAGTTGGTCCTTCTCTCCTCTGGGGAAGGGGTGTCGTAAAGGCCTCTGCAGCCAGACTGTCTGGACACAGATCCCAGCTCCACCCGCCTGGCTCTGTGGTCCTGGGAGCGCTCTGTCACCTCCCTGTGCCTCAGGTTTCCTCATTTGTGAAAAGTGTTGACACCATCCTAAGCACTTCATACGTATTACCCTCGTCCTGCTGGGTAGACCCTCTCATGAGGCCACTTTTGTGACATCACAGTGCTGCGGTGGAACACTGAGGGCAATGAATGGACACGTGTGTTTCAGATACCTTCCAAAGATTGCAACTTTTGTTTCTTTTTTCATCCTGTTATGGGCTTTGCACTTATTTGCTAGTGAGCCATTATACAGAACGGGACAGAATCACAGCACACCTGAACTTTCTGGACAGCTCCCCACAGCTGTGCCCGCTGGGATCACTGTGTGTGTTTTGGCTACAAGGAGGTGGACAGCAGCCATCCCGTGCAGCTGTTGGGTCCTGTGTGCTAGGCTTGGGTGGTCTCAGCAGTCCATGTGGGCTGCAAGAGTTAGACTCCAGATCTGCCGTTCGCTTCAGTTTGGTCATGGTGCCTGACTGCAGATCTCACCTGCCTTCCATACAGCCTCATGCTCTTCCAGGGTACCTCACCGACACTCGGGGACTTTGATTTCATTCTCACTCTCTGCCTGTGGGAGCCATCCACGTGGGAACAGATTTCTTGGTTATGTTCGGAGACCATATCACTTTGAGGTGTAAAAAGAACAGTTAGGAACCAAAGCAGACAAAGACACCAGAGAAGGTAGGTGCACCTGAAGGTCCTCAGGGAACCAAGGATCAGAGACTATACGAGACAGAGACCTTCCCCCAGAGCCGACAGAGATAGCGAGCTGTCCCCGAGAGCCAGTGCCCTGACTCTGGGCTTCCAGCTTCCTGAACTGTGAGGAGACAAGTTTCTCTTCACCAAAGCCACCCTCCTGTGTGGTGTTTCCGTTACAGCAACACTGTGTTAGATCGGCCTGTTTCCCTTTGCTTTCAGAATTTGTTCTTTATTAACACCTCCTACACAATAATACACCGGCTTTCAGAATGAAAGCGCGAACCAGGACCTCAGTTCAAGACCCAGAACAGCTCTGGTTGTCAGCAGCCGTGTGCTGAGGCAGCCGGCCTCCCGGCACTCACCCACGTGCCACGGCAGTGGTGGGGGTCACTTCTCCTCTCAAGCTTGCTTTCCCACAGACGCAGCAGTGGCCTGCCCTCAGTAGCAAGGGACCGTTTCGCCACTCCCTCTCCTTTGTTGCTTGTCCCCGTAATTCAGGTCAGGAACGGAGGGATGCCGCCCCGAATGCAGGTACTCTTTGGCGCTTGCAGCTCAGCGAGTCAGTTACGTATTGAAGTGGGTGTTCTGTTGAAAGTGCCAGTGTGGGTCTGCGGGGACTTCTGCCTGCTGTAGTGCGTTAAGTCTGTGTCGCCTCTCCAGGCACGTCACCACCAGGGGGTCTGGGGCGAACTCAAATTTGCTGGCAAACAAAGCAGGCGATTGAACAATCCATGGCAGGTCTCCTAGTCCGTAGACGCAGGTGTCCTGGACATAATGGCCTGCAGGAGCAAACACAAAAACTCAGCTGCCTTTCTTTTCCTTCCAGCTTACCTTCATGCAACAAGCTGACACCGGCTTCTGTGTCGCGTTAGACCCTTTGCTTCGTCAGGTGTAAGTGGCACATGGCCTCCTTGGTGCTGCGACAGGGCATTTATGCTGAGTTCTCATTAGAATGGGAAGGGGAGTTGCCGTTGTTCCTGTTAGTGATTTTTACAACCTGTGACGGCTACTGTGGCGAATACTGTGGGGTTTGTATTTGGTGGTGAAGCTCAGGGAGGCAAGAAAGCACTCCTTCACCTGCCGAGTCTAAGTCCTGACAGCTTCTCTTAAGTTCCGTGCAGGCCTTTGAGCCAGTTCTTCCCAGTTCAGTCATGGCCAAGGAGGCGACACAGGAACGGATCTGAAGTTTGAAACTGGGTGAACCAGAACAAGGAAAATTGCAAGTTGAAGCCCTGCTAGAAACTTACTCTCCCTCTCGGGAAACAAGGGTGGCGTAGGTAGGGCAGAGCAACCCATCTCTTGCCCGTCCTCAGATTTTGAGCAGAGCCTGAAAGGAAGCAGCGGCGCCTGTCTCAAAGATGGCGGCCGACCGCATCGCTCTGCACGTGTGTCACTGTACGGTCCCAGCCTGAAAGGGCTCACAACACCTCTTCCAAGTCTCCCATTCCAGGGCTTCAATCCGTGATTTTCCCATTCCACTTATTGTACCAGATCACCCAAATTTTAAAAATCTGAATCTGTTCAGTTTTGCTTCCTCAGCCATGACTGAACCAGTTTGAACCAGTTCAAAGCCCTGGTTCCATGACCTTTTAAGTTTTCCTTGGTTGATGGCAATTCATGAGAATTGTGTTGGTTTTAATAAATCATTGCTTCTTCCCTTATTGGGTCTGCAGCAAATGTAAGTAGTTACAACGGGATTTGTGGTTAGAATCCAGTGCCGATCGGATTCTTTGAGACAAACCCAGTAGCACTTTTTGTGCACATTGTGTGGGCACTGCCTGCTCGACCCCTTTGCACACTCACAGTCCTCCTGACAGCGCTGCAAGGGGAGGACACTGACTCAGAGACGTGAAGTCTCTCATTTGTGTGGAAGGCGCCGAGTGCCCCCACAGCTCTGTCAAACCCAGAGAGCCTGCTCTGTTCTCTGTTCCATGTGGCCCACACTGTGCCCTCCCAGCACCAGAAAAACCCATTGCCCTCCATTCGATTCCAGTCATGATGACCCCATGAATTATAGAGTAGAACTGCCCCAGAGAGTTTCTTGGCTGTGACCTTTAAGGAATCAGATCACCAAGCCTTCCTCCTACAGAGCTGTTGGCAGGTTTGAACCACCACCCTTTAGCTTAGCAGTCAAGCACTTAACTGTTTGTGCCACTCAGGGATCGCTCTCCCCCAACGCCCCACACCAGCCCAGTAATCCTTCTTTGACAGCTTATCTGAAGGAAACCTTTTTTTAAAAGGGGGAGGAGCTACATGCAGGGAACAGCCAGTGGTGTTTGTAAGGCTGGGAAAAGCCAAGCGGGAGCCCCCGCCTCTCCTCTGTGCTAGAGGTGGTTGTACAGGTGGCACCTGTTACCATGGTTACAGCTGTTAGCTGAGATTTCCTCAGTGCAGGTGATAGAACCTCCAGTGAACCTGACAACTATGGAGACTAGTCAGGCGGAAACACATAGGACATAGGTGAAAAGAGGACCACAGGGACACCGTGTTTATGTGTGTGTGCACCAGATGACAAGGGCGTTGTGCTGGGGCCGAGTGGGTGGTGGAACCAGCTCGACTCTGGTTCTTTCCAGGGGGAGCTGTGGGTCTGTACGCACCCGGGGCACTGGTGGCAACCAGGGGCACTGGTGTGGAGGCCCAACTCATCTGCTTCCTGTCACTTGGGGAGTGACTTCATCCTCTGAGCTGGGGTCCCTCATCTGTAAAGGGTGCATAGCAGTAGTTTCTCCACCAGGATGCCGAGGAGTGACCTCATCACTGGTCAGGCACAGGAGGGCCTTGCATACTGTCCCCCACAGTGGGGCTCGGCCTAGGTCATGTGCCGACTTCAGAAGCTGGCAGAGATGGCCTTGTTGTACCTTACTGTCCCAACAGTTTGCACACTAAAGCTAGTGGTAATTAGAACTTTCCAGAGTGTTTGTTTTTACAGAATAGTGATTGAGAGTTAGGATAACTACATTTCTTTTCCAGACATCATTTAACTGTTTTCAAAACGTTTGTCACTGAAAGCACTGAGTCATGACTTCATCCCTGGCAGTAATAGCCCTTCATGACTTAGTCCATCTGCACACCTGAGGGTGGGCACTTTCAGAAAGAAGCTAACCCCAGAAAAGATTCTGATCACTTGTTTCATCCAGCTGTCAGCCCCAGCGTGTGTACATGCACACGTGTATGCATGCATGTACATGTATGCATGTATGCCACACGTGTTTGACAACACACCTGCCTTGTAAAGAAACGGCAGGGATGCTTGCTGGCCAGTGTTTAAATTGTCTTCTTTCTACTGTGTGAATAAGTACCTAACTGGCCATAACTACCTTTCTCAAAATACTTCACTAGAAACCTGCCCCAGCCCTCGGAGCTGGTACTGGGCACGTGGCAGCTGGCAGCACTAGTGGCGTTTGAGTTTATGCTTTTTTGTCTACAACCTGTTCGCTCTAGGTCAGTCTTTTTAACAGCTTGAAAGCTGACTCTCCCTGGCTTCCTGCTACCCAGTCTGTTCCCACCTGAGAAGCAGACTACAGTGCATGGTGCGGACAGGTCGCCGTGTCTCTGCGTGCGTCCCTGCAGCTGGATGGCAGCCTACAGGCAGCCAGACGTGGTAGGGGCCATGTAGCCTTGGAAGGTGATGCTTGAAGTAAAAACAGCAAGCTCGCTGCCACTGAGTCAATTCTGACTCATGGTGACCCTAACAGAACAGAGTAGAACTTCCTCATAGGGTTCCCTGGGCTGTAATCTTTATGGAAGCAGACTGCCACATCTTTCTCCTGTGGAGCAGGTAGGAGACTTGAACCCTTCAGTTCACAGCCAAGCTCTCAACCACTGCACCACCAAGGCTCCTGATGCTTGCCCAGCCTCCTGCCCACACGGTTTTGCTTCGTTCTCCAGCCCCGTAAGCTCAGGTGCCCTCACACTCTTCCCTCTGAGCTCCCTGAGCATGGGCACGCAGTCTGTATGACACTGACTTTCCAGGAGGGCTTTGACCACGAGGCCTGCCTTTTCAACTGGATTATAGGACAGACGTGTTTGCTCATAAATCGAATGAGCTAAATTCAGTCTGTAGCTCTAGGATTCTGATGAGAAGCTATTCAGAATCCATACAGAGTTGAGAGTAGTTTGAAAGTCGCACCTTTGTAAAAATTAAACCTGTAATTTTAAAAAGCCCTCTGATTTCTTTCAGGCAGTATGCAGGCAGAGCAGATGTGAGGACCACTGCTCTTAGAGCAGGGAAAGAATATCCCATAAAGCACCAAATAAATAGTTTTGGCTCTGAGGGCCAGAAAGTCTGTCCTAATACTGTACTCAATTTTTCCCCTCATTGACGTGGACAGTGCTGCAAACGAATAGGTGTGGCTGTTTTTGCAATAAAACTTTACACAAATGGCCACGTAGCCCCCAGGCGATCGTCTGCTGGCCCCTGGTCTAGAGCATGTCCCCGTTCCTTGGTTCTGTATTTTCATAGATCAGGGAAACGTAATACTCATTTTTAATAAATGTTTAAATATTTTAAAACTTTCAAAATTGCAACCCTGCTGTGTGTTCACTTCGTGAAAATCTGTCAATCCGTATACCTAGGATTTGTGCACTTTTCTATATAGATACTAGTTTTCAGTAGAAGACTTTTTTTTTTAATCACTAATGCCAGGAGCTCTGGTAGCATAGTGCCGAAGGCACTTGATTGCTAACCAGAAGGCTGGCAGTTCAAACCCACCAGCCACTCCTCAGGAGGAAGATGGGGCAATCTACTTCCGTAGTGTTACTGGCTCAGGAACCCAAGGAGGGGTCACTATAAGTCGGGTACGACTCGACGGCACGTAACAACAACAACAATAACAATAACAATGCCGAATTACTGTAAGCTGTTACATGGTGGCCAGTCTTCTTCCCATTGGCTTGAGGGAGCAGTTGTGCAGCTTTTGTACAAGTGGAAGCTTTTGTTGTGGTAGTTTTGGGTTTACCTTTGCACCCACGGTGAGCTCTTCCTTCCTCGTGCTTCCATTTAATGGCACGAACATTTCCTTCCCAGCCAGCGTTTGGTGTTGCTCCTGGAGCATCTGAAAGAAAACAACAGGCAGGCGGGGTAACTCCAGCTTCCCAGAGCTGCAGCACTGTGACTCCCAGTTCCTCTAGGTAAGGGACTCAGTGGGAGCCGTGCGTCCTTTGTTTAGCTGAGAAAGGTGACCAGGAAAGCTCAGCCTTTTACAAAACGTTTATGTCCTTGCCATGTGATACCAGGCCAAAGCAGGACTGGGGGGCGGGGTCCAAATCAATCGGCATAACACAGTCCACAATGG